GCAAAAGACAAATTATGGCGGTGTATCTTGACATGTTCTACCGGAAGGTTCATTCTCATTTTGCACATTTGGTGGCTGGTGGAGAGAGGCCCTTAGCACTGGACCTGAGTTCACGTCAAGGTGAACGTGAAAGTGCTAAATCGCACAGCAACAGACCCGGAGATCATATATCAGACGACATGAAAGACCAAATGAAATAGGTTGGGCTCAAAAGAATTAGGCTTAAAAAAAAAAGAAAAAGAAAAAGGAAAAAAAAAAAAAAAAAGACACGACGAACACCGGCCCGAGCGCTGTAAAAATCCAATGCACCTATGAGCTTCTCACACAATCCGAATCCAGTCATGACTGGACCGGCAAAGGAGGTCTTTTTTTTTTTTTTACCTTCTTCTTAATTGAAGAGAAGGAGCCTGGATCTATAGACAGGATGGCTTGATCCAAAAGTGGAGTTCATCATACGTGGTCATTTTCCAGTGAGCAGGTGGATGGATGGTCAGGAACTCGCCACCATGATACCGCAAGCACGACGCGATCATCAACCAGCTCGATAAGAGATATCATAGCCAGCCTTTCTGACATCTGGTGCTCATAGGGCTACACAGACCACATACAATGACACTGGCAGTGGTGGGACTCGGCACAAGAATTCTTCAGCGCTAACGACGACTTCAACTTCAGGGGTGACTCGACAGAAGAAATCTTTGGGACTAACGACGACTTCAACTTCAGGGGGTACACCCTGACCTGACTCTCCTCCCTTACACGTGCGCTTGTTAAACCACCAGTAGGGCATCGCCACACCACTCTCGAAATGTGCGAAATGAGAATGAACTTCCCGCTAGAACATGACCAGATGCACCCGCCACATTTTTGTCTTTTTCACATTTCGAGAGTGGTGTGGAAGTTTCTTCTTCTCGACCAAATTTGTAACCTGCCTGTACTCTCCTCCCTGAGGCGTGCGCTTGTTAAACCGCCAGTACATCCTAGCCTCGAGGTCCTCCACTGCGTGCCGAGCACCGCCAGTCATTGTGGTCCGGCAGGCCGGAGGCGCGGAATTTTTGGAGTAGGCGATGAAACTTTTTCAGCAAGGCTGGGGATGTGTACTGGTGGTTTAAACCAGCAGCAGCAACAACATAGGAGGGCCTCCTTGTTTTCCCAAAACAGCGACTATGGCACCGGGCCGTGCTAGGCTAGGAAGGTCTGGTCCCCACGTAGTTTGGCTTTAAGTGAGAAAAAGCATACGAAGCACATGCCATGTACCGCCGCTGTAAGCCCGAAGGATCAAGGCTGCTGCTTTTTGTGGGTTGGCCGCAAGCCATGCTTCCAGCCCCTGTATATTTCTTTGGACTACTGTTTTCACCCGAAGAATAGGACACCCGGTCATTATCGCCGTTCCTAGGCTGAAATTTGCTGCAAATACAGCTATGATGACTGGGCGTTCTATTCGGGTGAAGACGGTAGCGAGGGTCCACGACAATGCACGGTGCTTGCATGTGCGACCGTCACGTTCTCGAAATTCGTCTCCTGATCCTCATCTTGCTTGGCTCACTCCTCCACCGCTTTTGAGGCACGGGACATGGGACGTGGGAATGCAGACATTATTCGGTGTCCAATATCGTACACGCGTAGCGACACAGAAGAACCAACCACAGGGG